GAAAGAAAGAAAGAAAGAAAGAAAGAAAGAAAGAAAGAAAGAAAGAAAGAAAGAACGAACAAGAAAGACAGAGAGAGACACAAAGACTGAGAGGGAACTCTGGCGAGGAAACAAGGAAGGGTGTGTCTGGCTTGGGCTGTGCTGCTTCAAAGTGAAACCAGGCAGGGGGGAGGGGGCCGGGTGAGGGACAGTCTGGCTGGGAAGGGTTAGGGACAGGGGAGAGAAGGCACCTGGGCGGCGACCCAGCCCACTCACGGGAGGGTGGGGGATTTCGTGAGCAGAGTGCTGGCTGCCGTGTGACTCCCTCTCTGCCCAGGGCCATGGAGGCCTGTCCGGGTCCTGTGGAGGGTGAGGGGCCTGTGAAGAGAACCGGAAGAGCTGTTTTGCTGATAGTTCAATAGGACTTTGCACAGCGCTTCTACGGGCAGCTGTCAGGGGCACCCCGCTGCAGAAGGGAGGCGTGCTCTCCACCCCTGCCCTCTCCATGTCAGCCACGCCCGTCCTGACCACTCTGATATGGGGCAGCGGCCTGCAGGAGGCAGAGGGGAGCCCATGCCCAGCAGGGGTGGTAGACACCGGTGGCATCGTCAGTGTCAACGGCAGCATGGCTGACTCCTCACCCTCCTGTTCCCACTCCGGTCTCCCGACCCTAATCTGTGGTTCAGGCTCTGCAGCTCCGAGGGCCACAGGGAAAGGCATAAAGCCAGGAAAGGGAGCCAGTCTAGGCCCTTATAAAAGTATCAAAAGCTCCCTGGAGAAAAGTGGGAAGATTCAGAAAGAAGAACATAATCACTCTCATCCCTGTTTGAGGCAGAGTAGCAGGTAAGCGCTGAGTTTTCCGTCCACCTGCAGGTACTCGCCCTCTGAAGAGCCACGAAGCGGAAGCAAACAGCCTATCAACAAGGATGTCAGAGAAAAATCACTTAATGAGTGTTGGCTGAGGCTTAATGATGAAGGCCCTCTTGACTGTTCTCTGGGAAGAAGGGGTTAGTTGGGCGTGGTCGCTGGTTTCTGAACAATGGACTCTAGACCATGAATAAACTTTGCTGTTTTTAGTTTGTTGACAAAGGTGTTTTACGGATTAATTTTCAGGTGGACGGCCTTTCCCCTAGTAATGCCTCTATATGAAAGCAAGCACAGAGCAGCATGGTTTGCCCTTGGCCTTTCTTGCACACACCACACGGACCACAGTTCAGCAGAGTGCCTGCGAGTCCTTATACACATTTGTGCCCACTGAGCCAGATGAATCACTTCCAGGAATGTGTCTGAAGGAAATACATCAAAAATGTTCACTGCGGTGTTATTTTACGTTAGTGAAAAACTGGAAATGATCTAAATGTTCAACATTGGGAAAATGGCTTAATCATGGTAGATCCATATAATGGAATACACAGCCGTGAACACGGACACTGATAGCTTTTAATGACACGGGGAAGTGTTACGATCTTAAACAAGCAACAACAAAAACCCCATGTGTAAAATGGCATATAGTTTTGGTCAATAAGGGAGAAGGAGCTGATGTGGAAAATCCCCCTTCCTAGTTCAAATACATAGACATGCTGATAAAATGAGGAAATTTAAAAATTCTGTGACCCAGCTCAAAAACCGAAACCGAGCTCACAAGCAAACAACGAATAACAGAAACCCCTAGTTGCCCAAAACAAAGAGGGAACCTGTCATAAGAGCCATGCAGAAGCGGAGCTGAGCGACCCCAGCCACAGCACCCTGGGGGCCTGGTCACCTCAGAGGGGGCTCTCGGCACCTGCCACCTGCACCAAGCCAGGTGCACAGACCGCCCCTCCATCCGTGAACTGGGTACTGGCAAAACCTCACCCACTGGCCTGGGGAAGGGGCAAGGAATCTTCTCATCCATCAAGGGTTGTGGGTGAAAAAGAGAGTCACCAGCAAAACAAATAAACCAAACAGGCTTATATTGAGAAGAATTCAAGTCCTAGTTCATGCAACCTCAAAACTGAAAAATTTGTATATAAAAACCGGTCTGAAACTACTGAAACTGGTAAGAGTACCCTGCATGTGCTCCAGGCCCAGGGCTCTGAAGACATGCTCCCTCGAGCCGGGGCACAGGACACCATGGAGAACACCTAATAAGGGCAACAGTGTGAAGATACAAATAAGTCACATGAGGAAACGAGCCACCGTGCCTCAGCTCCAAAGTGGGGATATGATATTAGAGCTGTGAAGAGGACATGTCTCAAATATATACATGTACAGAGAACAAAATCTCAACATGTGAACAGTAGTTAGCTTGAAATGTGGCTGAATCTTTAAAAAGTCTGCTATAATTAATGTACAGTGTTATATTAGTTTCAGGTGTACAATACAGTGATTCAACAATTCTCTGCATTACTCGGTGCTCATCATGACAAGCATACTCTTAATCCCCCAGCGCCTAGTTAAGTATGGCTGAATGTTTAAACCCATTTCTTTTTTTTAAAAAATGTTTATTTGAGAGAGAGAGAGACAGAGAGACAGAGAGAGAGAGAGAGAGAGAGAGAGTGCGTGAGGGGTGAGAGAGAGAGAGGAAGACACATAATCTGAAGCAGGCTCCAGGCTCTGAACTGTCAACACAGAGCCCAATGTGGGGCTCAAACCCATGATCCACGAGATCATGACCTGAGCTGAAGTTGGATGCTTAACCGGCTGAGCCACCTAGGCGCCCCTAAACCTGTTTCTTGACCAGGAACGGAAATATAAATGCCCCCAGGGGCCAGGCTGGTAACACAGGGAGGGAGGTGCTCAGGTGGGGGCTGGGAGACGCGAGACAGGTGTCCTTCCGGTGGGGGCACCTGCTGCTCACCGGGATGGCTCCCATGTGGGAGTGCAGGCCTAGGACAGCCACATCTTCCTACTTCTCTACATCTACATTTTTATACAGACCAACCAATCAACTAATCAATCCGTCTCATCTTTAAAATGCTGATCATCGGGGCTCCTGGGTGGCTCAGTGGGTTGAGCATCTGACTTCAGCTGAGGTTATGATCTCACGGTTCGTGGGTTCAAGCCCCATGTCAGGCTCTGCTCTGACAGCTGAGACTGGAGCCTGCTTCAGATTCTGTGTCTCCCTTTCTGCCCCTCCCCTGCTCACACTCTGTTTCTCTCTCAAAAAAAAAATTTTTTTTCTTAAATTAAAATGCTCACCATTAATCTCATTCTTTTTACCTTTTTAAAAAATGTATTTATTTTGAGAGAGAGAGGGTGAGCAAGAGAGTGAGCAGGCAAGCACATGAACAGGGGAGGGGCAGAGAGAGATGGAGAGAGAGAATCCCAAGCAGGCTCCAAGCTATCAGCAGAGCCCAAAGTGGGGCTTGAACCTATGAACCATGAGGTCATGATCTGAGCTGAAATCAAGAGTTGGACACTCACCTGACTGAGCCACCCAGGTGCCGCTGTCAGTTTTGGTTTTGATACTGCACTGTACATATGTAAGATCTGACCCCTGGGGCAAACTAGCTGAAAGGCACACAAGGCTTCTCTGTACTACCTTTGCAACAACCTGTGAATCTGGAGTTATTTCAAAATGAAAGTTTAAACATAGGAGGAGGTTAAAAGAAAGAAAATTCCATTCCTTAGAGGAGCTGAATCGGGCCCCCTTAGCTTCTACACACGAGTCCTAGCTCTTCCCTGGGGAGCCCCCAAACCATGTGCGCTCAGAGATTTGCAGACCGTGAATCTATATCCCGATTTGGTTTTGGCTGCACAGCCCACAGCACCTCCCCTGTCCCTTCCTGAATCTTTTCAAACCGGTATTTGCTTGAGCCGGAGAAATGCTCTTGAAGACATGGGCATCATTGTTAATAATGAAGCTGGGGCCACAGGTATAAACCACAACTGTCCCCAGCACACTGGGGCATGTAGTCACAGACAAGGGATGCCGGGCCACAGACAGGTCAGTTCTGTGGCCTGGCCTAGGCCTCGGCTTCTCCACTCTGCTCTGGGCCTGGCCTCCGGAAGTGCTGGGTGCCAGCTACTCCCTTGGTGGGAGCCGGTCTCTCTGCCTGACTTGTGAGGGGTCAGTCCAGGGTTCATAGGGCCCTCAGAGGGAGAGGCCCTGGGAAGGCATCCCACCCTAGCCCTCATTTCCAGGAGGGAGCAGCTGAAGCTCAACAGGGAAGGAACCAGCTCAGTTCACATCAAAGGACCAAAAGACCCAGTGACTTTACAGTCAGATGGCAGCTCACAATAACGTCAGCCCCAGCTTCCCATTTCAAGCCCCCAAAAGAATCCATTTAAATAAACACCACTATGAAAGGAGAAGCCTGAAGAACGTTCTTATTTATGGAATACATTTATGCCCTATTTTCTTTCTTTCAACAAAGCAGTGAAACCCAAACTGCTGTTTGCATGCTCCTCATGCTGCATTTTGCTTTAAGGTGATTTGGGGTGCAGAGGATGGACGACTAGTCCCTCTAAGAGAATGTCTTTGGCGGCGGCAGAGGGAAAGGCCGTTCCTCCGTTTCATGAGGTGTCACAGGGCAAGTCTAGGCTGCTGGGCAGAAGCGGATTCATATAAAGCTAACACAACAGAAACTTCAGGCTCCTCACTAGCCAGGGCCCTTCATGGTCTTGCACCTTTTTGTGTCATTTTTCTTTCTTTTAAGTTTGTTTATTTTTGAGAGAGGTAGAGGCAGAGGGAGAGGGAGACAGAGAATCTCTCGCCATCAGCGCGGTGACTGCCGTGGGGCTTGAACCCAGGAAACCATGAGATCACGACCTGAGCCTAAACTGAGAGTTGGATGCCTGACCGACTGAGCCATGCAGGCGCCCCTTGTGTCATTTTTCTTAAAAAAGAGTCCCCTACATTCTGGAAGTCCCAAGCCCCATCATACCTAATCTGCCCCTCTGAGGCTTTAATTTTCCCTGGGCTCCATATTGAGGAGAGCCTTGTGACCATCTCAACTAGAACCAGGAAGAAATGTCTACTTGCCTTGAGCTTCTCAGCAGCATCTTCTATCTGGGTTATGTTGCCAACTTGCTGCTGTTTCTTGGCTTCCAACTGCTTTAAACGTTCTTGGAGGAGTTTCTGTATGTGAAAGAGCTAGGAAAAATTAATACTTAATACTGTGACTTTTGAGACAACAAGCCACCCCAGGGGTCCTCTCCTCCCACCCCTGTATTTTGTTTCAGCTGAGGTATCTGAGACTCAGAGGTGAGGTGACTGGCCTAGAGTCCTGTGGCAGATTGGAAGCATGGGTCAGAAGGAAGGTCCTTCTGCTCCTCAGAGGCCCACATCAGATATTATTCCAACCTTGATGCCTCCCTCCCCTTTCCCTAGAACAATCCTGCTGATGACCTGATTTCCCATCCTCTCAAATAGGACCTTAAGGCAAACAGCCTGGGGCAGGAGAAGAGCGCTCACTTAGAGAGTCAATATTAACTAAGCACCTGTTACATGCGCGGGAGCCTGTGGCCCTTTGGCTTGAACTGGGGTTCAGAAGACCTGCATGAGTGAGGTCGGTGGGGGTTCACGCTCCCTTCCAGAGCTCGTTGTTTCGCAACTGCCGTTTCCCCAAAGGCCTGATCTGTGAGCCTCTTCCCCCCAGGTTTGAGCTCACCTCTACCTGGATCTTCTTACAGCGGCCTTATACTCAGCTGCGGGGCCGGGGTCTGGCTGCCCGGTCAACCAGAAAGCTCCCCGAGGGCAGGCCTGCTGCATTCCCAGCTCTGCCATGGGGCCGCGGGGTGACCCAGAAAGTGTTTGCAGGATCAAACATAATGACCAAGGGCTGCCAGCTTCACGCCTAGAGTGGGAGCCACCCGGCAAGCAGTTGTGAGCATAAGCCCCAGGGACACAGGCGGCTTCCCAGGACTGATTCCTGGCTCTCCTTTCATGTGACCGGGACAAGTGACCTCACCTCTCTAAACCTGTTTCTTCAGCTATAAACACGGGGACAACCCCATCGCGTTGCTGTAGAGAACGAGTCGTACACAAAGTGCTTGGTGCAGTGCTTGGCAGGCAGCAGGTACGCAACAGCTAAAGCTCTCACTGTGCCATCGGACAGGCATTTGCTACTGTCTGCCGCTCTATTCTAGGTGGTGGATGGGGGTGGGGACGCGAGGGTAACCCAGGTATAAGCCATAGCCTCAAATGTGGGGGGCACATCTTACTCCACTGTGATTTCTAAGCCTTAAAGCCTAGCTGCTGTCCATCACCCACAGATAACCCAGGCCCCTGGCGCCCGAGCCTTCCAGTCACAAGGTGCTGTACCTGTCTTGCTACCTGGCTGAATCCTACTCATCCTTCAAGGACAGTTCCAGTAACACTCCTCTGGGAAGTCTTCCTGGGCTCCCTGTTCCTGGTTCATATTGTCTTCTCCCTGGCTCCCCAATTACGATACTCATCACGAAGTGTCACTGTCCTCACACCTCACCAGCCAGGGACTCCTGATCAGGGAAGAATTGATCTAACTCCTTAACTCGTGGCACAAGGTATGTGCTGAATGGATGTTTGGCGAATGGATGGAAGGACTGCTGGGTAAACAGATGTGTGCGAAGACAAAATGAGTATGTTGGTAGGTAGGTGGGTGGACCTGCCTATGAGACACCCAAGCCTGGAAGCAGCCATGTTAGTTCTGGAAACAGCCTTCTGAGGAGCTATTATTATTACAGCCATTTTATAGATAAGAAAGGCCTTAAAACCCAGGACTCTATCCACCAACTGAACGAGCCCCGAGCCCCGACAGGGCCCATTCTCACCTTGGAGCTTCAAGGCGGTCACAATGTGAGGAAAAAGGTCATTAATCACCAAACACTACTGGGAAGAGGAAGTGGTAAAATCAGCATCCGTTAGAAACAGGAGGGCCTGCCTGTCCCAGGGAGGCAGAGGTGGAGGCTTTGACCAGAGTCACAGGACACGTTGGCCCGAAGGCTGGAACAAGAGTCTGGGGCCCCTGACCATTATTAGGATTATGCACAGGTGAGGAATGGGCCAGTGGGTGCAATCCAGCTGTGGAGTCCTGGGTTCAAAGCGGCCTCAGCTTCCAGAGCCTTTCTTTCCTTATCAATAAAATGGCTGTCACAGCTCCCCATGTGGCGTGGCATGGGCATTTGCGTGGGGTGGAAGGGCGGAGTGGGTGGCTGGAGGCCGCTCCCAGGGCACTCAGACAGGCAGTCCCCAGGCCCTGTTTGCGTGGCTTTTCATCTTTGTTTAAAGGCAGGCTTTCTTTCGGGCCAAGAGAGTGTGGTGGGCCCACCGTGGTGCGCGAGGTCAAGGACACCTGCGTATCAGCCAGGGTGCCCAAAACTCTTCTGAAACTTAACTGGCAACAGCATGGTGGGCCTCTTACAGGACCTGGGGGCCGCCCTCGGGCTGCAAACGAAAGAAACCGCTCGGGCCTACCCGTCACGCCCCGCCCCGCGCGTTGACCGCTTTCCCACCTGCGCCAGCACCGCCTCTTCCAGCACCAGGCCCACCGGGTGGCCGCGGTGCGCGCCCAGCACCGGGCAGAGCGCGCACACGCAGCGGCGGCAACGACGACAGAAGAGCTCGACCACGCGGTCGCCGTGCTCCGCGCAGCAGCAGCCGCTCGTGTCCTCGCGCTTGGCGGGGCCGGGACTCCCCGGAGTCCCGCTTTGCGCCGCTGCGCCCGCCATCTAGCCCTCGGGTTCGGGCGCGCTGCCGGGGAGGGGCTCCCGCGGAGAATCGAAACCCCGGGCGGTGGGGCGGGGCGGCCCCGGGCCGGCCCAGCTCTGGGAGGAAGGGTGGCGGCGTCATGGGCGTCCTGCGGCCCCGCGGGGTGCCGCCAGCTCCGTCTGCGCCGGCAGTTTCAGCGGCGCCCAGGTGGCCGCCGCCGAAATGGAGCTCGCTCTATAAGGAGGTGAGCTTCCCCGCTCCGTGATGCTCCGTCTTGCTCAGAAAACTGCAGCCCTGTGGGTGGGGCCAAAGTTGGCCGGGGCCTCCCCAGCTGATGTGCATTACCTACACTTTTCACTTTCCCTCGATTCTCTCCGCCCTTTCCCCAGGAGGAATCACCACCTTTCCCACAGCTGTCAGAATCACTCTGCAAACTCCAGTTGCCCCCAGGCTGTCTCCCAGCCCACCAGTGTAAATTAGTACAGCTATCGTGGAAAACGGTATGGAGGTTCCTCAAAAAGTTAAAAATAGAACTACCATATGATACAGCAACCTCCCTTCTGGGCATATACACGGAAAGATTATAAAGTCAGTATCTGAAAGAGATACGCGCGCTGGTGGGTGCCTTGCAACATTATTCACGATAGCCAACACATGGGAATCACGGATGCCCTTCCATGAATGAATGGATGAAGATGTGCTGTGTGTATATACAGTGAAACGTTATTCAGACCTAGAGAAGGAAATCTGCCAGTTGCCACATGGGTGAGCTTGGAAGACATTATGCTACATGAAATAAACCAGACAGAAAAACAAATACTATTTGGTTTCACTGTGGAATCTAAAAAAACAAACAGTTGAATTCCTAGAACCAGAGTAGAAAGGTGATTGCCAGCGGCAGGGAGTGGGGGAAACGGATACAAACTTTTGGTTGTAAGATGCCCAAGTTCTGGGGATCTAATGTATAGCGTGGTAACTATAGTTAGTAACTATATGCTTGGAAATTGTTGAGAGTGGATCTCAAGTGTTCTCACCACACACGAAAAATGGTAACTGTGAAATAACAGATGTGTTAACTAACTTGAATGTGGTAATCATTTCATAAGGTATACATATGTCAAATCATCACATTGTACACCTTAAAAAATCACATACAATCTAAATATATACAACTTATCAATCGTAGCTCAATAAAATTAGAAAAAAAATCTCATTTCCTATCCTTGCCTCTTAATACCCTTGATCCCTGCCCTGTCTACGCTCCACCCTTCACTTGTTTCCAGACCAGGGAACAGGCAGTTTTCTCTGTTTGGGACCTCTCTTCCCCAAATACCTTTTGCCCTGCTTACTTCTATTTATCCTTCAGGTGTGTGCCTAAATATCACATCCTCCAGGAAGCCTTCCTTGCTTCTCCTCCCAGAGCAGCCCACACTTTCCCTATCCTGACCCTCCTCTTCCTTCCAACCATGACTGAAAACATCAGAGGGCAGGGATCAAGTCTGTTTTATCTGTTTCCCAGCCTGGTCTCTGGCCCAAACAAGGAGATAATTGGTATTTGCATAACAAATCAAGAAAAGGAAAGCTCCATGTATTAAAATGTCTAGGCAGATGTTTATTATTTTGTTACATTCTTTCCATTGCACGATTTCACATCTTATTTATTTTCACCTTTATTTCTTTCTTTTTTTTTTTTTTTACAAAGGTAAAAGGAATTTCAGAAACAATATTAAAACAAACTATTTCAGGCACGGTTTCATATTAAAAGCATAGATCTATTTTTGACTTCCTTCTTCCCTCTATGATACAATCAGGAAGAATAATTATTGTAGAGCTAAGGTGGACACCCCTCAATGCTCATCTCGCAGTGCTGTCTTGGTTCTCAGAAAGTTCCCGAGTCAGCAGGGGGCTCCCAGAGTATGGAGTAAAGAGATGAGTGCACATTCTACGTGCCCTGAGTGTGAGGGCCTGGCCCTGCAGATGCTGGGCAAGTTCTACTTCATCGGTCAAGAACATAAACAAAAACACAATTTTAAAAAATGGCTTAAAAAAATATTTGATAAAAATTACCTATCCCTCTCCCTTGCTGTGAAATCATTTAAATAATTCTAGTTGTAAAAAAAAAAACAAAAACAAAAACAAAAACAAACACAACAACCCAAAAACAGTTTTGTTCATGGATGCCTTCATATTGTTTTTAAGCATGAGGTCTGGGTCCCTTAGGAGCAGTGGGAGCTGGAGATTATGTGCAGAGAAGGCATTCGGGTCCCTCCCCAGGCTCAGCCCCACCTCCAGCTCTTGGCAGCCAATGCCTGTGGGCACGATGCTTCTTCATTGTCTGACAATGACATGGGGATGGTGTCGTTATTCTGACCGCAGTGATTATTCTGGCCCGTGTTAGAATGAGAGTCGGACATGCCAGTGAGTGGAGGGGGAGGGCTTTGTAAACTGTGACGTGCTGGCCACAAATGAGGTGGGAGAGGTGACCCCATGCAGTGGAGCTCTGCTTCACTGACAGTGCCTGGGATTTGGTCTTTGGCCTTTGGCGAGCCCTAGTGACTGAGTAAACAAGATAGGGAATGTGGGCATCTGGCGTGTGCAGGCAGACAGGGGGACCAGGCCTCGGCTAGGGGAGGGGGCACTTGGGCACAGAGCCTTCATCGAGTTGCAGCCGGGGCGGGGGCCGGGGGATGATGCTTCCAACCTGGACTTAGAGGGTGGGGTTGGAGTCCCAGAGCCTGTCTGGTGCTCCTTGTCCTCCTCTGTAGCATAGAGGTGCTCCTCATAGGCACAGACGGGCTGACGCAGTGGGTCTCCCTCCTCACTGTATTGCAGAATCACCTGGGAATGTCTAAAAACATACACAAAGCCAGGCCCTGCTCTGGGGATTCAGCTTCAGCTGGTCTGGGGCTGGGCGGGGGCATCTGTATTTCTCGAACACTCCCAAGAGGACTCTAATGTACAGCTTGGGTTGAAACCTACCAGGCTAGGTGGCCTCCTGCAGTCCCCATCGTAGCTCCATGATCACCCAGTGGGCAAAACCTGCACCTGCTCGTTGGGGGTGGGGGGGGGCATTTAACTTCCGACATTCCCCATCTCTAGCTGGGCTGCTGGGCTGACCACTGAGAAAGAACCTTGGAGAACAGGCTCAGAACACAGGTTCACAAAGGAGGGACACATAAAAAACCTCTCAGGCTGGCCGGGGACTTCAGGGCCATTTAGCCCTACTTCCTTGCCTGATGTAGTCCTCCCTCTCCAGAAGCCCTCAGGAGTGGGTGGCCAGAGGCTCTGCTGGCATACTGCCAGTGCTGGGGCTTCCTGCCTTTTGGACTGAAGTCTGTCTTACCCTCGTGGAGCAGGCAGGCTCTGGGACCTGAGGGCTTTGGTGGTGACCGTCAGTGATCATGGTCACTCTGATGTTTGCTTCCCCACACGAGGGATAGTGTCTGCCCACATTTGGCTGATTCTGGTTGAAGAGAGGATGGTTTTGGTCTCCTAGCGGTGCTCTAGAATTGGGCCAAACCTTGACTTACTTCCCTCTGCCCTTTCACCAAGGTCTTGTGAGTTCCTACAGCAGACCCAGATCATCATCCTACAGGTAGTTTTCCTCCGGTCAAGACCAGGATTTCTTGTCTTTGGTGACAGATCCTGTAGAGGGCAGCATATGCGAGGCTCCCCTAGTTTGGATGGAGAAATTGAGACCAAGAAGGGAGTGACTTGCAAGAGGTCACGGAGGGGGTCAGGGGCACAGAAGAGCCCAGAACAAATCGATTCCTGCCCTGTGGGCTAAGAGCTGCTTTAGACCAGAAACAGCAGAAAGACTGACCCAGCAGACCAGAAGCTTGACCCAGCCCTACCATGAACCCTCTGCGGACCTTGATCACTTGCCTCTCTCTGGGCCTCAGTTTCCCCACCTGTAAAGTGAGGAAGTTGGGCCAGATCAGTTTTTCAAACTTCTAAATGCTTTTTCAGAAGCAGAATTATGTGTTCCATAGAAGCCAATGTATAAATCAGAGAGAAGAGGAGCTGTGAGTTTGGAACAGGGTGGAAGGTAGCACGGCCCTCCTGCTTAGCCTTCCTCCCGTTCTGTGGACCACAGTCTGAAAATCTCTTAGGTCCTTCCAGCTCTAACTTTGTACAATGTTCTTTCCCTTGAGAAGTTACAGCTCATCATGGACCCTTAAAAACAGAATTAACCAGAAGGCAAGGTATCGTCTACAGTCAATTCAGACAGTGCTGTTTTGAGAAGGCAAACAGGAAAACGGCACCAAGTCCCTCCCACGAGAATCTTCCAGCGACCGAGAGTTTCGTTTTCTGGTAAAAAATATAGAAATAGTGGTTGTTGGTGGGGGACTTGTGGTTTGGTTCTGGACCTCCCCATGGAGCCGAGCGGTGTCCCTGAGGGCGAGGAGGGCAGACCTCTCTGCTCAGAACCTCTCGGAGCCCATCCGCAAGTTTTTGATCTCCAGTTCCAACTGTTTGGCCTGGACCTCACGCTGGGTCACCAGCTCCCGGAGCCTCCGGATCTCCTCCTGTTGCCGATAGAACATCTGCAGCAGCTGGGAAAGCACAGAACGGAGAGGAAGGTCACTCGGAGCCCCAGGATGCTAGGGGTCAGAACACCAGCAGGAAGGACAAAACGTTGCCCCCTTTTCACTCAGAAAGATGGAGGTGATGCTTCAGATTCTGTGTCTCCCTTTCTCTCTGACCCTCTCCTGCTCATGCTGTCTCTATCTCTCTCTCAAAAATAAAAAAAAAAAAGAAAGAAAGAAAGGTGGAGGTGATTACCAGCGCTGAGGCCTGAGGGAGCAACCATGCACAGATCTGTTATAAAACCTTGTCTTCACCCCATAAACGGAATTTTAAAAGACTTGATGCTTCAGACTGTGTGTGTGTGTGTGTGTGTGTGTGTGTGTGCGCGCGCACGCGCACACATGAGCGCGCTCGCACACGCGCGCCTCCTCAGAGACATGGAGGAGAGGATACTTGAGCCTGAAGTCTAGAGACTGGACTTTTCACACCACTAAACTACATGGCCTCAGGCAAGCTACTTACCCTCTCTGAGCTTCAATTTCCTCCCCTAGGAATTGTGGGGCCAGAAAACTAACCTCAGCATTAGCATAATTGCTGCGCTGTAGAGATTGGGACTAGGTGTTGATGCCCCCACTAAGGATCCACAACACCCCTATGAGGATGGTGGTGTTTGTGCTCCACTGTACCGCTGTGGGGACAAAGGCTGGGGGAGACTCAGCCCC